CAATCCTTTCAGTCTCCTAAATCCCCTCTCCTCCTGGAGCCCGAAATGTGGTCGCAGTAAATTCTCCAAAATGAAAGAACACAAAATCCGATAAACCTGCCGGCATGCCCTGGCCCGGGGCTGAGCGGTGGAGGTAGCGGTTGGCACCCGGCGAATAATGTATGCGGCAGCGGCTGGCAGCCCCACATAGGCCGGCGCTCTGGCCCTGTCTGCTGACCTCTGCGTGATCCCGAACTCTATGAATTATTGATGAGATATGAGCGTTGATTTCCCCTTTCAGGATGCAAACTCCATTATATTGTTAAAATGGCGATTTAATCGTTGAGAATAGCTTTGGTGTGGGTTTTCTTCCCCCAACTCATTTGCGCCTCCTTCATTTTCATTTAACTCTCTTAATTAAATCCTTTAACAGATTTTAATCACTTTTTGGAGGGAGGGGCAGGAGGAAGGGATGGGCCATCACTACCACCACCACCACCAAACACTAAAACAAAACAAGCTTCCCGACCAGAAAAACCTTCTACCTTGGGGAAGTTGAAAAAAAGGTGGGGAGGAGCACTAACCCTTCTATAAAGGTCAAGCAGGGAACAAGTATCAAAAAATCCGTCCATTGGAGGGCTGGGGCACCCAACTCTGACAAGGAAAAGTCGTCAGTCCTGGGGGTAGATATTTAATTCCTTCCCTCTCCTCCCCCGCTCCCTCACCCCCAGGAGATTTGGTGTGAGGTGGACTGTAGAGAGTACCTCTCACTTATCCCTGCTGAGAAGTGCAGGAACTGAGCTGGGGAAGGCCATAGGGTTCTTGTGGGGAATGACTCTCAATCTGGGCCCCAGGGACGCTCAGAGAGATTTGTCCCTACTTCTTAAGGAGCCCCTATGTCTCCCCTCCCCCTGCTTGGTTTCTAGGCGGTGTCTGGGTTAATTAATATGGATGTGTAACAGTGCTGCAGTAATCGATAAATCCCGCTGTGGGCAGAGCCCAGCCTGAAATCTGATTACTCCTAGAATCTCCCAAAATGAAGAGAATGGCCAGTGGGCTCTCCCCTATCCGAAGGGAGGGGTTCTTGCCAGCCCTGTCCTCCCTGGTTGGCCCGGGTTGGCCCCAGGCTGTGAAGTGCATGAGCCTTCTCCTCTCCGTCCCCGCAGGGACTGAGTGTGGGCGATTGCACAGTGCCGACTGCCTGTCTTCTGCCTTGCTCTGAATCCTCGGCCTTCCACCCCAGCACCCAGACCCCAGGGATAAAGGGATCAGGGCCAGAAAGGAGCTTCCAACTTGGCTCTCCTCCCCACACCCTGCCTCACCAGCCCCCAGTGAATACCTTCTCACAGCCAGGGAAGGGTTAAGTGTCCCCGCTGCAGTTATGGAAAGGAAGCCAATGAAATATGGGCCCTCGGAACTCCAGGCCGGCTGGCTTTCCTGTTTACACTTCTTTATACTTCCTCCCACCCCTGTGGCCAAGGAGAAACAACACAAAACAAACAAACAAAAAACACAACCAAATAAAACAAAACAATCAAATTGTCTACTGAGTGATGGTCAGGCTGGCCTCCAAGGGGGAAAAGGAAACTTCAGCCTCAAAGTCCTGCTGCCGCCTCCTGGGCCCTGCCCGGAGGTGAGGGTGCGCTGTTGGCTGGGAGGCTGGGCGCAAGGATCTGGCCAGATGGCACCAGCCGGCAGCTCAGAAGGTTGAGGCCTGAATCGAGAGGAAGCCGCGGTCGCTGGTAGGAGAGGAGGGAGTGAAAAGTCCCAGGAGACCTGGAGAATGTCTTGAGGAAGGTGGGAGGGGAGGGCGGGGGTCTGGGGCAGAGGACTGAGCTCCTTGGCACCAAAGACCCCTGCTCACCTCTCATCTCCTCCTCAAACAGGTCCCTGTTGGGGTTCAGGGAAGACTGTTATCCAGAGATGGTTACTCAAGGGGAGAAGAGGAAGGCCCAGCAAGCGCGTCTTCTCTGGGACCCGCTTAGAGCAGAAGACCTTCCAACTCGCTTTGGCCTCCGCAGCGGAAATGAGCAATCCGCCTGCTCCGGGCTGCTCTTTACCACTCCGGAAAATCTGTCTAGATATGCCCGGCACATGTCCTGGGCCGCAGGTCCCACACTCTTTATCAGAATTTGCAGAACTGACGTGGGAGAGGGCCAAAAAATCTGCAGGGACGCAGGCCTGGTGGTCTGGCGTTTCTGAGAGAGGGGAGGCAGGCTGGCAACAGGATGGGGCTTCCCCGAGGCCCCAGGTCGGATTCTGCCCCTGAGGCAGCTTCCTCTACACCTCACTCAACTCATCTGCCTTATCCACAGAGGAAGCCGTGGAAGCTCTGGCCGACATGTATTATTAGTATTTGATATGCAGCTGGGAATCTTTGGGGAGAAGAGCCTTCTTTCCTCCTTTCCAAAGTGTACAAATGCCCCATCATTCTTGGGGAGATGGGTCTTCAAATCAGGGTGAGGACCCCGAGCTCTCTGTCCTTTCTGCTCTCAGGGCCTGTGAAGGCTCTCCTGTAAGTCAGGCCTGTGCAGGGATTGAAGAGCTCAGGAAGCAGGGGGTAGCTGCGGGGACAGAGGGACAGAGGGAGAAGGTCCTTTAAGGGGAAATGGAGGGCATCTTGTGACCCTTCCCTTGTCCCAAAGACCAGAAGCTTCTTAAGGTGCCACATGTCCAATTCCAGGCACTGTCCACAGGAATTGGTCAGCGGAAGCAAGAGCCGGCAGGCTGGCAAAAGCTGGAGTGACAAGGTGGTTGACCCAATAAGTCTCAAAATTGGGGGGTCAATTTGGTAGAGAGCCTCTGGTTTTTGGAGGGGTGACTTATCCTTGGAAAATAACAGGCTCCTGAGGGTCAAATAATGAAATCCCTTTGGTTTGTGGTGCCACAAAACAAAAGGGCATTTAAGGATCTGGTAGCGCGAGAGGAGAGGACGGGAAAGAAAGCACCTTTCCGATTTTCTCTCCCAGCTCCTGACTCCCTTTTATCCCTCCGGACAGTTGGGTCTACTTTCTTGAGCAAGTTTTATCTGTGGAAGGATTTTCGGGGACCTACTTCAGCATCTAACCCCTCTAGGCAGGGGGAGAAGCTCCCCCCTTCAGCCCACTGCAGCTCTGTCCGCCCCCCACTCTGACCTCAGGACCCTACTTAGAGCCCAGAAGAAGGGACCAACAGGCTGAAGTGGGGTGCAAAAGCGCCATGCTTCCCATCTTGGATAATCCTGATGAGGCTATAGAGAATCAGAGGTACCCCTTTCATGGGGTTCAAGATCTGAAAACCAAAGAATATTCCAGGGCAAGGCAGCTGCCTTAGCCTTGGGGGTGCTTTTTCTCAGTTCAGATGTAGCCAGATAAAAGTGCCCAGCAGCGCACCCCCAACACACCCCCGAACAAATGAACGCCATCAAGTTTCTTTCCTGGGGGTGGGAGACGTCTGTCTGAAGACCCAGCAGTGAATTGGCCCCCACAAGGGGCCCTTCTTTCAGTAGCACACACCCCTTCTTCTTACCACCTACATTTCCAAGGACACTGAAGGAACCCACACAGACCCTTTCCCCCACAAAGAGTCAGACACTATTGCAAATAAAAAGCCAGGCGCCCCAACCACTGAGGCCTTATTAAACTAAATGCACCCCCCCCCCATTCAGACACCCAGTTGGTCAGATCTTGGTGCAAAAAGCAAAAAGCAGACCAAATTTCGCCCACTTATCCTATAGCCCTGCCGGAGGCAAGATTTCCTTCCCCCAGTTCCAAGCCCCAAAATTGCAAGGGGAGAAAGCAAAAGCTGGAAGCCACTTACTGCGGGAGTGCTGGGCCTCCGCCGCCCGCCGCCACTGCCTTCTGGGCTGGGAGAGCCCTCACCTACCTCTGCCCCCTTCCCCACCACAGCGAGCAGTTAAAGTGTCACTTAACATTCTGGAGAATGTGAAATATACCGTGCGGTGTCAACTCCCCAAAACCATAAAACTAACTTTATGGACCTCACGTGACTTTCTCGAGCCAGTGAGGGGTATCTGTCTGACTTCTCCGCGATTTTTACGATCTAAGTTCGAGATAAAACCCCTATCCATTTGACATCTAAATGTCATAGCGACTTTTGGGATAGTTTGCTATGGACAAAGGGGGACAAAGTCAAGGGGTGAGGGGGAAAGAGGGCCCAGTAGAGCCTCCAGGACCCTCTGCTGCCTCCTCCCCAGCTTCCCCTCCCCCACAAGTCCTGTGAGAAGTTGGGCCGAGCTGGAAGGGATGTGCGGGTAAGTGTTCAGACTTGACTCTTGCGCTCAGGGTGGAGGCTGACTTGGATGGAGGAGGACTGGGCCCTGGCCCTAGGCCAGTCTGACTAGAGGGGGGAACCAGGGGTCTTCCAGGAGGGGCCCCCCCAGCTCCTAATCAAGAGGGAAGGTCAGTTAGGCTCCTGGAGAGAGAGAGAGAGAGAAAGAGAGAGAGAGCCCTTGATAAGTGCAGAGAAGATTGAGGGTGAGGGAAACCTTTGAAATCTAGCGGATTTATTGATTTATTTATTTTGCTTTAGTGGGTGGCAGAACTGAATTGGGATTTGGAGCTGGATACCCCACGACCACTCCCAACTGGCCAGGAGCCTTCTGCTCAGAACTTAGGCCCAAATTACATTCCCTGAAGAGGTTTCAGGGGCTTTTCTGGCCAGCTGGTGGAAGGCCAGGGTGAAGTCCAGCTCAGCCTTTCCCTGCCCCAGCCCCATGGGGGGTTTCTTGGGCCTCAGGCCCCCAGGCGTGCAGGCCTGTCCTCTGGCCCAAGCACTGCTGAGCCAGCCAGGGGCTTAGGAAAGTTGAGAGGGGTTGCTGGTGAGCATCCTGTTTCCCCTCCCTGCTCCCCAGACCCATCAAGCATGGTCTAGGGTGTGCCCAGCGATGGGAGAGGCAGGCCCCTCCGAGAAAAGACAAGTGGAAGGGCAGTGGAGTAGGGGAAACATTTATTTGACTTTAAGGAAAGCTACAAACAAATACCAAAAGCGAATCACTGAGACAGGCCCGGCAAAGACAGATTTCACACGTAGCACAGCATCCACTCGCTCACTACAAAGAGTCTTGGAGGCAAAATGGATAAGGGGGGGAAGGAGATAGGTCTACCCAGAGCACCCCCATATTTACAAGCGTTAGGCCTCTCTACACCAGACCCATGGGTTCACAGAGGAATACACAAGACATTTTACACCGAGGATTCTTTTTGTTTCCGTACACTCCCAGAGCAGGCCTGTGGGGCCTACCCAGGCGGCAGGAACTCAAATCTCACTATACACCTTCCCTCTTCTCAACATCACCGCTTTGGTCCTCCCTGGCCCCTTCCCACCCCGGGACCAAGCCACCAAGAGACTTGGGCCTGGGGAGCGGAGAGGGCGGAGGGAGAGGAGGGCGGAAAGAAACACAGTCATGGACTCCATCTCCGAGGCCAGCTCAGCTGGGCCCGGCACTGCGGAACCACCCCACCTCCACTGCTGCCCCTTAGAGAAGTTTCCAGCTGAAACTCAAAATACAGCGCTCATCCTTTTATAAATAAGTTAGAAGAACAAGATGGGGAGGGGGAAAGTTCACATTACACATGCGAGTTTCTTTTCTTCCTGGGGGAAGGAGTGCAACCACGGACACGAACATTCAGAAACACTGGTGGATGTGGGGGGCGCGGAGGGGAGCCAGGAGCAGGGAGGGGAAATAATAATTATCATCATTATTAACAATAATAACAAGATCAACCAGTCCAGGAGAGAGGGAGCCACAGGAAGATCTAAGACCAAAGGAAACATGGTGTCCTGGTCAGTGGCTCCGGGGCCCGCAGTCTTATTCTCCTTTTTCCACTTCATGCGGCGGTTCTGGAACCAGATCTTGATCTGTCTTTCCGTGAGGCAGAGCGCGTGCGCGATCTCGATGCGCCTTCGCCGCGTCAGGTAGCGGTTGTAGTGGAACTCCTTCTCCAGCTCCAGGGTCTGGTAGCGGGTGTAGGCGGTGCGGGCCCTCTTGCCGTCAGGCCCGGTCATATCTGGAGCAGAGACAGAGCAGAGCCGCGAGGCCACGTTACTCGGGTTCAGGGAGGGGGGCCCCGGAGTGGGAGGGGGCGTGGAGCAGGACCCAGGCGTCCCCGGCCACCAGCTCGCTGCAGCGCCCATCCTCCCCACTCCAGAGGCCCCGAAGCCGAGCTCGCTTTCTGCACCCTCTTCTCCCGCAGCCCCCACGTCTGCGGGCAGCGAAGCGCCCGGCTTTGTCTCTGGCTCCCTCCCTGCGCCTCACCCTGCGCTGGGCTCAGGCGGCCCGCTGGCCCCCCGGAGGGAGGAGAGCGGCTGCACTTTGGCCCTGGAAAGCTCGACTCCTCGCCCCTCCTCTGCCGGTGGCAGCCTCAACATTTCGGTAGCGAGCAGGACCCTTCCCCACCTTCCAGAAACCCCATCCCTCATCCCAAAGCTAGTGCAGCTGGGCGAATAAAACCCAAGCCGAGTCGGGGAACAAATTATTTAAAATACTCCTCCCCGACCCCCCCCCCCCCAGCTAAAAACCTTCTTTGGCTCTGTCCCCGGAGCTGTGAGGACTCTCTTAGAGACTTCTGCCCCCCCTGGAAAAAAATAATAAACCTATATTTGAGGAAAGCCAACCGCTCCTCGCACGGACCCCCACCCCCAAACGCAGGGAAGGCACGGCCGAGAAGACACAAAAAAAGAGGAGAGAGCCAGAATTACCATGGCTGATATGCAGCTTCCTCATCCAGGGAAAGATCTGCGGCGTCTGCCCCTCCGGCGCGGCCGTGGAGGTGGCCATGGGCTCTGGCTGCGCCCGAGCCAGGCTCGGGCTGTTGAGCTGGCTCGCCGCTTCCTCTGGCTCCGAGGACGCGCTGGCCTCGTCTATTTCGGTGAAATTGGCGCTGGAGCTGGCCGGGGTCGCCTGGTCGGAGGGGGACGAGGCAGAGGGCTTGGCGCCGTGGCTGTCGCCGTTGGTGCAGGGCAGGGACTCGGGCGAGGACAGGGAGCAGCTCGACGCCGCTGGCCTGAAGCGGGGCTCCTGGGCGGGCGTGGGGAAGGCGCGCGAGCCCTCGCCCACCGCCGCCCCAAAGTGGCTGGAGGAGGCCGAGGAGCGGTTGACGCTGAGGTCCATCCCATTGTAATTGTAGCCGTAAGAGCCGGTGTGCATGGCAGCGGGATCCCTGTAAGAGCCGCTCAGAGAGCTGCCACTGCCATAATTTAGCAACTGATAGTCCGGGCCATTTGGATAACGCCCCGAGAAGGAGTTTACAAAGTAGGAGCTCATTTGGGTGATTTTGGAGGGCTTGATTTGTGGATCGTGGTCGTTATAACCCTGTGCTTCACGATTTATGATGTATTAATGAATTATAGCGATGCACTGTACTTCGTTTTGCTATGTATGCGGCCAAATATGGGGGGGGGAGGTTGGAAGGGGGATGGGGGGGCGTTAGGGAATCACGTGCTTTTGTTGACCAGTCGTAAATTCTCACTGATGACCTCAAGAGGTAATTCATGCTCTATGGTTACAAATAATGACGATCCGAGAATCGTTAGGGCCGATTCAATGCGAGCCTCCGAGAGAGGGGGAAACAAGGAGAAGGGGGAGACGCCGGGAGACGGTTGGCAGCGGCCTCTGAGCAGAGCGCCCCGCCTCCC